ACTGACGAGTGTCGACCACTCAGGTAATTCGCCGACCACCGTTTGAGTCCCTGTGGGAGTGAGGAGGCCTCTATATCTTCTAGTAGCTTTGAATGACTGACAGTGTCGATCGCCTTGGACAGGTCCAACGCTACTAGAATAGTTCTCTCAGAGGGCGGTTTCGGTTTAGGCCACGAGTTATCTGAGTGTTTATGGCGTTAAGTGCTGCTGTTGTACTATGCACTTTACGGAACCCATGTTGATGCTTCGCTGGAGTCAGGTGGTTCGTGAAGTACGGGAGCAGCAGGGCCTCGAGTGTCTTCGCTACCGGGGAAAGGAGAGTTATCGGGCGATAAGACTCTCCTTTGTTGGCTGGTTTCCCCGGTTTGAGCAGTGGGACCACTCTCCCCATTTTCCAGATGTCTGGAATGACAAGAGTGGCCATNTCCCTGTGGGAGTGAGGAGGCCTCTATATCTTCTAGTAGCTTTGAATGACTGACAGTGTCGATCGCCTTGGACAGGTCCAACGCTACTAGAATAGTTCTCTCAGAGGGCGGTTTCGGTTTAGGCCACGAGTTATCTGAGTGTTTATGGCGTTAAGTGCTGCTGTTGTACTATGCACTTTACGGAACCCATGTTGATGCTTCGCTGGGGTCAGGTGGTTCGTAAAGTACGGGAGCAGCAGGGCCTCGAGTGTCTTCGCTACCGGGGAAAGGAGAGTTATCGGGCGATAAGACTCTTCTTTGTTGGCTGGTTTCCCCGTTTTAAGCAGTGGGACCACTCACCCCATTTTCCAGATGTCTGGAATGACGAGAGTGGCCATAGACAGATTGAGGACCTCCGTTAGGTACGCTACTTCCCGATGGCTACCCTTACCTCACCGCTGGTGAAAATAAGANAGACAAATGTTAGATCTGGGGAGCGGCAGCAGCTGCCCATAATCCTAGTGGGTGCGTCGTCGCTCATTGTGCAGAATGTCGAATCGTCTATCTGATCAGCCAGATGAATTCCCCTACGATCATTTGACAGGCTTGAGTGCCAAAGATCGTGGTGCG